AGTACATTAGGTTCTTCTAAAATAAGTCAAGCGTTTCAGGTGTAATTTGGTACACCTTGTAAAGGAAGATAGAGGCAAATGCCCTGGAATCCGCAGAATGTAGGTTGTTTACATGGAATATGGTTGATGCAGCAACAGGAAGAGACCATGAGATGGCGCTCCAGTCCCATGAATCCAATTACTTGCTAAGTATTTCAGGTGATATGTCAGTCCAAATTCTTTGCACAATACCACGTGTACTCATAACTTCAGATTCAAAACTTGCTCTCTTTTTGGCTCTGTTATCACCTGTGCGCTCTCTGAACAACTGGCAGAAGCACCTGCTGTTAAGATTCCTGCACCCTTCTTATGTGTCTTGACAAAGAACCGGGGTTGGGGATTTGAATGTATTAATGTGAGATTGGTTGATTGAAGCAAAAATACTGACTTATGGACTGCTGAGTGCTTACATTTGCTTCCACATTTGCATACTGAGTCTTTATAATCACACTATAACTGATAGGGAAAAATGAAATGCCCTCAGGGAGAAAATCTTTTTGAAAAAGAAAATCTTTTATGTGACCCACTTCTCCCCCCTCCTCTAATTTATACCCACCAGTTAAAATATCTCTTTAGAGAAAACACAGGGGGAGAAATGGGTGTCAAAAGAATCCGTCTAGACGATGGATTTGGTTAACCAGAAACCTAACCCACGAAAGCAAAAAGATCTACCAGGGAGACTTCATAGGGGTCTGTAGGGACAAGATGAACAAGACACTGTTCAAAAATGATCCTGTTCTCTCGTTTCAGCTTCGCTGGAGAACAGCTCAGAGCTGGAAAGTCCATGGAACCGGAGCATTTTGAGTCTGTGACGATCTTTTTCTTGGACATTGCTGGATTCCCAAAACTCTGTCCTCTCAGCTCCCCCTTGCAAGTCGTCAAGCTCCTTAATGAGCTGTACAGTGTGTTTGATCACAGCGTTAAAGCTCCCGATGTGTATAAGGTGAGACGCCTGGTTCCCAAGTTGTGGGGCTACACGTGCTCCTTGTAGGCTGGCTCCCGGGCACGAGTGGGGATGACCCCAGATCTAGATGTCAGCCAGCAGGAAGGCTCCTTTTCAGGCTGGCAGTCTATCTCAATTCATGGCAGAAACTCCATGTTTCGTTCCTGTTTGTTTTCTTGGAAAAGGGCTTGATTGATGACAGGTATATGTGCTTGTCAAGAATCATCAGTTGTTCCCTCTGTTTCCTTCCATTATTTTGTCTCTCAGTAAACACACTTCTAAAATGGGCATTGACCTTCTACTGGCTAATTCCTCCAGCTCCCTCCTAAATACACATTTATTCACATTCAGAGAGGCTCATGTTTACTCTCCTTTAAAGGTTGTCTTTGGATCTTGTGTGAGTCTCACTTCTGTTACCATGATCCTTAGCGATTTGGGTGAAACTCATCCCTGAAGCTGAGACCGCCAGACTCATCGTTAAGACCAGACAACCACCACCTGCCCAGTGCTCTTCTGGGGAGGTAGGAACAGGGTCACGTGGAGTGGAAAATGAATTTTAGTGGGAAGAATAGCAAAAATATAGGCAAATTTGGCTTTGTTCATTGGTGGTGATGATGCCACTTTATGTGTTTTCTGACTTTTCAGTTGGGGCCCAATCAAGAGTCCAGGGAGCCTGTGTTTGCACATACGTGGTGGGCAGCCACAAGTGCACCAGCTCCGACCATGACTGCAGGGCTCTGCCTGTGGCTGTGGGGCCAGGAAGACTTGGGACAGTGTAGTCATGTCCTCAGTGACACATCCTCAATGGTTATCCCCCAGAGTTCCCCAAAGATGTTGCCTCTGTCCGAGGGTGAAAGGAAGGATCGTATGGATGGTCTCAGAGAGCAGATCACATTCACCCAGCGAAAAATGGAAGCTGCTCTACTTAGAAGAGCCCCCTCTGGGATTTCCTCTTAGTGTTTTCCTCTCAGTTATGTTTTGCATGAATGAGTGCTAAAATCAGTTTGTATTACTAAAGGGCATGCTCATGGTGAAGAGAGCTAGCCTAGAAGCAGTTGGACTTGTGCACTTGTTGATTTGGGGTAATCTCAGGGTCACAGGGAAACAGACATGTCCTTCCTTATTGTCGCTAAATGCCTAAAATTCCACCTTCACCACATCATCTTTGGATTCTGCTGATATGCAAATGTATCTGGAAAAGGCTGTAACTTTAAGCTCACATTTGCCATTTTCATTAATTCTCATTCATTGTGAATGAAGGATCTGAGAGCTGATTTTATTCGGAGGATTGGGAAAGAGGAGGACAGATCAGGCAGATACATACATTTATACATGTTTTGTATAATGTATACATACGTATAAATGTATACAAGGGCCCTTGTGTGGGGTGAGGACATTTCACATTGGGTAAGATGGAGTCCCCTTGATGGAGCCAGGAGTTCCTTCAAGATTTACCCCATTAGTACACTGCTGCCTGTCTAACTGGTTTTGAACTTGGGCTGAGGAAATATGGTCACCACCGCTATCAGATTGCAAAGGAGAAAGCAGTGACTGCGGGGAGGAGGGCTCAGGGAAGGAAGGCTTTGTGGAAGAACCGGGACAAGAGCAGGAGCTTGAGTTGGGACTTGGTTGGAATGGAGGTCAGGGAGTGTGACCCTTCAAGGATGAGGCCTCAAAGCAGGATCAGTAATGAGAGGCCTTGCTCTGACCCCCACCCCCAGCCCCAGCCTCCCTCATGAAGCACACAAGATGACTTTGTTGCTTTATTTTCAGGTGGAAACCATTGGAGATGCGTACATGATGGGCAGTGGACTTCCCATCCACAATGGAACCCAACATGTGGGTGAGATTGCCACGATGTCCTTGCACTTCCTAAGTGCCACCATCCACTTCCAGATTGGGCACATGCCTGAGGAAAAGCTTAAGCTTCGGATTGGCCTCCACACAGGCAGGTAGCACCAATGGCAGGAGGCCTTAAGGACCAGATATGGCAGCTGGTAGTTGTAAATTCACATCCTAGGTCTGAGGTTTTAGGGTCCCCGAAAGCGAATGGTAACATCTTCAGGGGACATAAAAGATGGATTCGTCTTTGCATGTGTGTTTCTAGCTAACTGGATTGCTTGGTAACCACAAGAACACGTAAAGACTCCAAGGTGTTGAAGCCAAATAAGGAGGAACCCCCAAACCAGGAAAGTTACATTAACTAGGATGGTTATATCTGTCTGCTTTCCCTCCGTGCCTCTGCTTCGGATGCCCTCTGATGTCTTCTGTGCTCGTCAGGTTCACGGGCATGTGACTTGTACAGAAAGTGACCTGCACTTGCTTGAGTGCTATCCTGCACTGTTTTGAAATTCTTGATAATTTTTGAATGAAAGGTCCCTTATATGCATGTCAGACTGGGCCCTGCAAATTATGTAGCCAGACCTGCTCCTACCTATCCCCCACAGCTGAACTAAAATAAAACCTGGCCCCTAACCAGAATTAATCACTCCCATGTTTGTGCCACTGTTGCTTTGTTTATATCTCCAGTGCGTGAATAACATTGTCATTAATTTCTGTCTTCGTCAGCTTCGTTGTTACAACAAAATACCAGAGACTGACTTAAGCAACAGGCATTTCTCACAGTTCTGGTGGCTGGAAAGCCTAAGGTCAGGATTCTACCATGGCTGGGCTCTGGGGAAGCCCTCTTCCCAGCTTGCAGATGGCTGCCTTCTGGCTGCGTCCTCATGTGGTGGAGAGAGAGGACTCTAGTGTCTCTTCCTCCTCTTATAAGAGTACTAATCCCATCATAAGAGCCCTGCTCTCATGACCTCATCTAAACCCAATTGCCACCCAAAGGCCCCGCCTCCTAAGACCATCATATTGAGGTTGGAGCTTCAACATATGTATTGGGGGCCGGCCGGGCGGGGGACACAAACATTCAATCCATAACAATTGATTATGTTGCTTTCCACCAGAAGTCTGTGGACTCTGTAGTTTGCCTCATTGTAAACCCTGAGATCTGTTGCCAAGTTTTGCCCCTAAAGGGTACTTTACAGATACTTACTGAATGCCATTTGTTGACCTGATGTGCAGCGTGGAGTCTGCCGCTTGGGAAATGTGGACTGGCCATTTCCCCTTGCAGGTCCGGTGGTGGCTGGCGTGGTGGGAATCGCCACGCCCAGATACTGTCTGTTTGGAGACACAGTGAACGTGGCACCCAGAGTGGAGAGCAGCAGTTTGCGTTTGTGTCATTTACAGCACTTCGCAAGCACAGTCTCTCTGTCCCGCCAGCCCCCGTCTTTAACCAGAGTATTTGTAGAAGAGTCATTTGCACTTTGTCCACTGTTTTCCATCTGGAGGATAAGACCATTGTCCACTCCAGACAGTGCTGGTCACAAGCTTCGTAGTTGGGGTTTTGCCCTGTGCCTTCGATGGAGCCTTGTAAACACATGTATCAGCCTTATTCCAAGACTTCCCATGCTAAACAGTCAGGTAGTCATTTAATAAGATAATTTAAATGAAGAGTAGGAGTTGGCAGACTATCTGAGCAGGGCCAGACAGTATAGATATTTTAGGCCACAGTCTCTCTTGCAGCTACTTAACTCTTGATGTAGTGTGAAAGCAGCAATTTGTAATATGTAAGTGAGGAGTGTGTTTCTGTTCTAATAAAACTTTATTGGCAAACATAGGTGGTAGGCATGATTTGGCCTATAGGCGGTAATTTGCTCAGCCTTAATGTATAGGATAGTTTGGGGAATGTCAAAGAAATCTATGGCCAGGTACTCCAAAGGAGACCAGATGCTTTTGCTTTAGAGTGATTTTATTGCATTGATTATCACTAGACATATATGCAATTTATCAGCTGGAAAAAATACTCAGAGATTTAAGTTTTGAAAAATTTAGGTTTACATTCTTTTGAATTTGTAAATTTTCTGCAATGCATTAAAAAAAAACATCTTTTCCCCTCTTTTTATGTTGTTATCTAAGTTAATCAGCCAAGTTGCAAATCCAGGTTTAAACATCTCTCTTATCTTGTAAGTAAAGATTTTAAAAATAAATTATGAACATGGAACTTAAGTTGCAGTTCTGGTTACAGTTGAGATTTTCAGTGATGTTGTCCCAGCTCTGGTACCATCCCAGGGAGCCTAGCTGATCCCCATCCAGGGGGAACACCAACTTGCATATGGAATCAGTTCTGTCTTCTGTTTCTAAGTGGAACATGTTAAAGCTTGGGCAGCACCCTGCAGCATCTGGGCAAAGCCTGAATGGTTGGGCGTCCCAGCCCACATGTCCCAGACGTCAGAGAAGTTGTCTGCGATTTGCTTAATGAGAGGTGCTGGCAGTCTGAGGACCTGAGCAGTGCAGAGTTCCCTCTCCGCAGCAGCCCCCGCCCCACTGACATGCATATGAAAGTCACGGCCGAGGTGGTAACTGTCACTGCTTTCTGGCAGCGCTCCGAATTCACGAACTCACATCTCTCAGACCATGCAGGTGTCCTGCTGGCACTGGGAGGCTACGATTTGCAAGAGAGGCATCATTCCAGTCAAGGTCAGACCAGGCGGACTGCGCCCCACCTGCCCCGTTTGGGTCCCTGGAGGAGATGTTGAGGAACTTGACTGAATGAGTGAATCTCCCCACCGTGGTTTGTGGAGACCACCAAGGCCCACGTGGAGGCTCTCATGACTGCCAGGTTGTCTTCCTCCAGAGGGGACAGTGCAGTTCCCTCAAAGGGTCGAATGTGGAACCTGTGACAAAAAACACACCTCGGCTCCCACCTAGACCAACCTCCTGTGCGATGCCGCCTTTCTGTTTGCCACAGCGGCCTCCTGGCTTCTGCTTGAACACCCCAGTCTGGTCTCCCACGCAAAGCAGCAGCAAACACAAGCCCAGGGGTTATAATGCCCATGTTCCTCTGTGCCCCTTCCCCCAGGTCTTAAGTACCCACGTGGAAGGGGCAGAGCCCCTTGGTTGGGGGCCCTTGGACCTCACCTCTACACATTTAAATACCTCTTCCCTTTCCCTCTGCCCTCTTTTCCACCTTGGCTTTCAGTCTGTGTGAAACATACCATGATACCTTCTCATCTCTCTGGTAAACGTGCTCTTTCTTGGGGAGGGGGCGGTGCTTCTCTTGACACTTTCTCAAGGACATCTTGGAGATGCTTACAGTGGGCGTGGTGGGTGGTTGCACTGGCACTGGGAGTTTGAGGGGGTGCGGGGTGTAGTCCCAGGGAAAGGAGTGAAAGGGAGGGGGTGGCATCAGCTCCTGCGGAGCCTGGCCCTGGCATGATGTATTTGATCAGCTGACTTCAAGTAAGAGGAAGACTTTTCTCGTAGGCAGCAGGGTAGACCTCGCTGTGGATCCCTCCCACTACTCATTTCTGTCTGGCTTGGGGGCTTGGTTTTACCAGCTGTGAAATGGGAGTGGTGAGAATGCTGTTCTCAAAAGGTGAACGTGAGGGTTGATGGTGAACGTTGTGTGTTTCACCTGCTGCCCCACTCTTAGTAAGAGCTCAGTACATTTTATTATTATAAAAATAAGGGTTTTTTGGGGGAAGAAACTTTAGTCTCCCCTGGCCCTCACCCCCTAGGCCATCGCTGACGGTCCCCCTGGGCTTATCAACAAAGCCCCAGGAAATCGTCACAATCTCACCTGTAAAGAGGCTTTTCCTTCACCGAGGCAGCTCCTGCCTCGTTGTGACTACAAAGTGCTTTCTCAGTAAGCGAGCCCGGGGACCCGGGGCCACGCTTCACAGGCGGCCTCACCAGCACTCTCTCTGCTTCCCACAGGGCAAAGGAGAACAGACAACTTTCTGGTTGAAAGGCAAGAAGGCTTCACAATTCCACTCCCCAAATTTACTGAGGAAGAAGCTCACATCCCAGAGATTGTCTGAGGTGAGTATTTTCTTTAAAAATGTTTGTGGGGTTCCATAAAATTCTGTGTGGTGCGTTAAATATCCCATTTAGAGGGTGTAGTTCCGGGGCATTGAGTCAGTCTCCCAGTAGGGGGCGCCATCGAGCTGGCCTCCTCTTCTCACCCCAGAGGCCTGTGGCCTGGAGCAAATGTGGAGGTGGATGAGCTGGACACAGTGAACTCATCTCCTGGGGGACCAGGGCTGCTGCTCCCAGACCTGCCAGTGAGCCTGCCCTCCCTGCCAGGTATTTCCGGCTGTTAGCTTGCGAAATTTGCAGTGAATGTGAATCCAGCATTATTCTGGTAAAGGGGGGAGTCTGGAGAATGAATCCTGGGGCCTCAGGCCTGCCTGCCTTTGCAAAATGACGGTTTCCTAACCTTCAGTGCTTATTCTCCTTATCAGCTAGTCAGCCAGCAAGGACCTAGGATTCCACACCAGAAAGCATCTCAGGAATGTTTTCAGGGGGTAGAGCTCCACCGGAGGTGTGAACCACTGGAATCCAACAGGGTCCGGCCATTCCAAGCGGACAGAACCCCTGCAGGCAGTGGCTGGAAGGCCTGGTCCTGAGCTCTGGCTTCCTGTGAGCGCTGCAGCTTCCAAATGGGGCATGTCTTGTCCTCAGTGTATTGCTTAATTTCTCTCCTATCCACTGAGCAAAGGCTGCAGTCAAAGCTTGAATTTTAAGAACTTTGTATTCATTAATGAAATGTTTAATTTTTAAATCTCCACCAGAAAAGGTAAACTTATCCATTCCGCTGTATTTCCCCTTTTACACAAAGACTAGGATTCCATGGTGTTTGGTTTTTCTTCCCCAGTGATTCTTGTAAGAGATTTACTGAACCACCCATGCATTTACAGTACTTTTTAAAAAATTCCTTACAACTCCAGATTATCTTCCGTGTGGCTGCTCCTGAAAATGACAGAGCAACTTGAATGATATATCGTGTTTGAGAGACATTCTCTGTTGAATTTTCATGATGAAGAATGAAAGCCAATGAGGAATATTTTCTCTTTGGCTGGACCTCTGAGCTGCCTTTGTGGAGCTATTTCTGAGCTCTGTGTGGGGAAATAAACCACTTTTTGGTAGGTTGAGAGTCTTTAACACCAAATTTGCCAAAAGATTTGGTGGAATTCCTGTTGCTTTTTTTCTTTTTTTAGGAAGAGGGACATGAAGTAAGGACCAAGGAAGTGCTTGACACACAGCCCCACCTCCATCAGTCTCCTAAGCGTTTCCATCGTAGGACCTGTCTGTCCAGAGGTGGGCAGCTGAACCCCAGGACCTCCACAGGGTCCATTTTCTATAACACGATTCCGTTTTCATTGTGGTGGGCTCTGCTCCTCTCCAGAGGTCTTCAGCATCAGGGATTGAAAGCTTTTGACTGATGCTCAGCGAGAGGGGCGATAGAAGCATTTATATGAAAGGGACAGAGAGCTTCCCTTGCTGCCCCAGCATGGAGACAGTCGGCCACAACTGATCACCTCACATCTCGTAACTTCTTCCCTTGTTTGGGACGAGGGCTTCTACATCGCAAACACTCTGCTCCATTGTGAAAGGGAGCAAGGCAACTTCTGCTACAGGGTCTCTTAGAGAGACTGGCCTGTCCCCACCCATCTGTTCATCCATCCATCTATCCATCTGAACATTCATTAATTCAAAGAGCATTTATTGGGTACTTACTCTGTGCCAGGTACCACACTGGGGGACACGAGAGAGCATGAAACTGTCCTTGATCTTTAGCGCTCCATTTAGTTGGAGCGAGGAGGCATAGGTAGCAGTAATGCAACATATTAAGGACTAACAGAGGTAAGTACGAAATTGTAGCAGTCACTGAGCAATCCAGTATTGTTCCATTGAAAGAGAAAATGATATGCAGATAGAGATGGAGTGTGGGATATGACGATCGACTGTTATTACCCCATCTTTGTATTTTACATGGAGAGTGTGTGTGTGCACGCACGCGTGCCCTTCCAGCCCTGACCCACAGGCTTACACACTTATATTCTTATAATAAAGACTTTGGTACTTATGCCCTTTTCATTGAACTTTAGAACATAAACATCCAGTCACACACATGCATATAAAACATTTACACACGTGGATAAGCACATTCGCAGCCACACACCTACGCATGTACACATTCACATGCATAAGCATACATACATGTGTACACGCATACACTGAGTGTACACACATGTAAATCTCTATATCTCGCTATGGCTGTAGCTGAGCTGTATCTATCAGTTGAGCAATAGGTAGAGACGTATGTGTATGTGTGTACTCAGCATGTGTTTATGTGTCTATTGCATGTCTCTGTGTATTTCCTTTGTGTTACTCAAGTTTAGAGAGAGGGGGGGAGATTCTGTCTTTAAGATTCATAACCCGGCATTTTGATAAGAGCCATTTCCTAGAATCTTATGTCCAGTGCTTTTTCTTTGTCAACCAAGGATACCTAAGGGAGAATGTACTCTTTCCTCCTTCTCTGTTTTATGTTTAGCACTACTGGGAATTTGCAAGAAAGATTGTTTTAAGGGTGCTTTCTCTTCATTCCTTAGTAGAGAAGTTGTGAGACATGAAACATGCAACCAAACATCGTGGGGCTGTCAGTTAACTTTAAGTCACAACACAGCCAGTTGCTGGTGATAGACATTAGCGTATTCGAGACAGGGATGACCAAAAAGACTTTTCCTCCCTAATGTGAATCATGCAAAATGGCTCTGCCTCCTTGCATCAGAAACCCAATATTGGAATTTTTGAAATGCAAATGTAGGATTAAATAATTGATAGTCTGTGGTGTTTATGTGAATCTCAGAAGCTCTAGTTGTAGAAACCCCTGGGAGGGTCGAGGAATTGCCTTTCAGCATGATATATTAAACACTGTAAGCTGTAGTCACAGGTTAATTATTTTAAGACATTTTATTTATTCCATAGCACCAGGGAGAGATACAAGATCATCAAACATTATGATAAAACAAAGCAAAACTAACGCAACATTGTTTTACTCTGACAGCCAAGGATTTATGATTATGGCTGAGAGAGTCCTATTTAAGAGTTTTGACTAGAACCAATAAAATGTCTTCTGTCCTTCCTGACCTCAAAAATTCTGAATTTACAGGAAGAAGAGATCCCAAACTGATTGGCTGGTGCACCAGCTCTGAGACCAGTTTAAACTACATAAAGTCATTTTAATCTTAGCCTATTGCAAACATGTACTCCGTGTCTCCCAAGATTTGAGAACTAGCTTTATTTCTGAGTTCATTAACACAGATGTCAAAGAACCATCAAACTACAGATCTCAAAACTTCTCAAATACATTAAATACAGAGATACAAGCTGACATGTTTGCAAATGATAAGCCCACTAATTGAGTCTGTACAAGACAAAGAAAAGAATTTTGATTTCTGGCTTTTCCTATCACATCCTAGCTTCTAGCCTCAAACGGGGGTCTTCCAGTGCATTCTCAGGGATCTGCCATTCTCTACCAGGACCGGTTCCTTCTGTGTTTATTTGATTGACCATGTAAATCATTGCTCTCAACATACTCTGAGTCGCTGGGGTGGGGGCTACTATTAGGGTGAGGCACTGCATAATTTCATTGGCCATATCTGCATTTGCATTTCTGATTTTTTGTTGGTTCCATTTCAAGGAGCATAAGTTAGTGAGATGAAAATATGGCTTGAATGTTCAAGTGGAGGCTAAATGAGGTCAGACCATTCTGTACCAATGAAGATTTCTCACTAGACCACATAGAAATAGTGGGGGCACTGGGCATCACAAGGCGTAGGTAGGATGGGGTTGACAGGCTTCAGAGAACCTGTCATGGTGGTCCCTCCTAGACATGTCACAAGCAGCAGTTTCGTTCAGGAGAAGCCACATTATGATGTTAAATTAATGCTAAGGTGAATTTTTTTCTTTATGTAGTGTTATTCCTATTCAATTTTGAATTTTCTTGTCATCTTAAGACGTTCATATTAGCTATAAAAATGAGGACTGTATACCTATGTAATGTTTATACATAGTTAAGAAAACTTACAATAAAAAAAATTGGGTTAGCACTCACTGGGGGCTCTCGAGAACCATTTTCCTTTATGTTATTCAGGTTTGAGCAAAACTATTGCATTCTGCGTTGATTCACACATGATCATTTGAGAGATTAGAACCCCTGCCTGGCGGCTCAGCTCTGGTCCTTAGATAAAGAGTCGCACAGCCTCAATGACAAAGGCCCCTTCAGAGAACAGCAAAGTTGGCTGCTCCTGTGCACTCTGGACTTAGCACTGACTTTGTGCTTATGCCCTACATTCTCCTCAGAATGCTCAGCTGCACTTGGTTGGGTGTGTTAGTCTTTTAAAATTAGAATAGCTTTTAAAGGAGTCTGCTGCAGTCCCCGACCTGAATATGGGGAAGGGAGACTCTGCCAGCCACAGGGCAGGGACTGTAGAATCTAAGAGCCACAGGAAGTCACAAGAGGAAGTGGGACACCAAAGAGAAACAATCGCTGAAATTCACAAAAATCACTGGAACACATACTTGGCAAAGTGCTATTCTCTGCTCCCCAACAATATGGTCTTCTGTTTGTTCTTTTTGGCAGCACAATAAATGTGAGTTTGACAGAGGAGATGGTCTTGGGCGGAGGAGCCGCAGCTGCCTGCCTAGCTCTCCCTTACAGGACAGCACAAATCCCCAGCATCACGAGGAGGTGATAGAGAACATCTGTGGACCAGACAAGAAGGGAGACAGAAAACAGTTCTAAGGGGAGCAAGGAGAACTCAGCGAAAGAGTCAACTCAACAGAAGAGTCGACTCAAGCGCATCACGTAGGTTTTCATAAAACCCTGCACGTTTTATACAACATCAGTTTTGTTCATCCTCTGAGGGTTCCATAGCTCAGTACAAAGACCCCACCAGATAAACCTAGGATATGGATCTCTAACAGGTGAGAACCAGCATGTTGAACCAGCAGTGATGGTTTAATTTCACTGTAGAGATTTCGCTAGAGAACTTCCTTTAAAAATAAGAATCTGGGAGTCTTAAACAGTTGCTTTACATGATTGCCTGTAATTGTGAGAGCAAAGACTACATCTGTGAGTTTATTAATAAATACAGCTGCCTTACCTCATCCCGTCATCATTTGGTGAGATCTTGGGACTTCGCTGAAATGCTTCTTCCTCTAAGAGGCCCCAGGTGCTATCTGAATCATTTCTCAACCCCCACCCACCGTACTTCACGTGTACTAGGAAGGGCAGGAGCCTTGCCTGCCTAGTTCACTGCAGGAGTCACACCAGCTAGAAAAGTGTCTGGTCTAGAGTCAGTAATTACGGCTGATCTTTACCAGATGTTTGCTGTGTGCTGGGCATTATTTAGTGCTCTTAGCTGCCATATTTAATCCACACCCCAACCGTGTATGATGGCGACAATTATTAACCCAGTTTCACAGAGGAAACTGGGAACACGGGGTGGGGGGCGGAAGGTCATGGCCCAAGGTCACTCAGTTCATGAGGGGCAGGATCATAGAAGGGACTCAGAAACACTTGCTGAGTGAATGGATCATGGAAAATCGCATTCTCCAAGTGCAGAAAACCAAGAGAAGCCACCTGGTGATGTCTTTGCTGAGACTTGGGGGAGCGGGCTTCATCCAACTTCCACCCAGCCCCTCCCTCCCTTCAGAGCTCAGGGGATGGTGCAGACCTCTCCACCTCCAGCCCCCTCCGGCCCACTCAGGTGTGCTTTAAAGTGTACCCTTCAATTCTTAAAGGCTTTGCTGGGGTCCAGGGTAAGCTTCTTTGAAAACGCACATCCACCTGTTAAAAGCATTACCCACGACATTTCCCAGAGCTGTTTCTGTTCCTTACCTGAGAAGCTATAGAGGCTGGAGAATCCCCTGCCTGTTGTGAGTAAAGAGAGAGAAGTTTTAAGAAAAGATCGTGGGAGCCAAAGCCTCAGAGCTCTGTTCCTAAAACACAAACTGACTGGATTTTCCCCTGGTGAAACCAGCAGGCGTCCCATTGTCCTTAGGACAAAGTTTCCAGCCGCTTTACAAATGTGTCATCTCACACCATTTTCTCCTGGCTCTCTAAGGCAGGGGTTGGTAAACTTTCTGAAGAGGGCGGTGCTAGTAATTATTTTCAGCTCTGTGGGCCATGTGATCTCTGTTGCAACTGCTTGTCTTGCTGTCACCATTGAAAGCAGCTGGGGACAACACCTAAATGAGCCTATGGTGCTGTGTTCCAACAATACTTTCGGTATAAACTGAAATTTGAATTTCATGGAATTTTTGTGATATGAAATATTATTCTTTGGATTTTTTTTCCCAACTACATAAAAAGGAAAAACTGTTAGAGGGAGGGTGTAGCTCAGTGATAGAGCACATGCTTAGCATGCATGAGGTCCTGGGTTCGAGTCCCAATACCTCCATTAAAAAGAAAAAACTGTTTTTAGCTTGCAGACCATACAAAATCAGGCAGTGGCTGGGGTTCAGCTCCTGGCTGTAGTTTGGTAATCCTCCCTTAAAAGCTGCAGCCTTCCCACAGGCCTTGCTCACCCTTCTCGTCACAGCACTCTTCAGGTCACACTTAACAGATGACCCACAGGGGTCTTCCCTGAGCCTGAAGCGGTTGAATCCCTTACCCATCTGTTCCCACCTGACCCCACCTCACCCCCATTAACAGTAACCTCCCTTTCCCTTGCATTCAGCATCTCTCTCCTTGCTAGATGGCACGTTCTAGAGGATAGAGCCCAAGAGGGGGGTCCTTTATTTCTGAAACCCCAACAGCCATGCAGACCAGTGCTGGTTCTGGATGCCCCAGAAAGTCTCATTTTCTATTATTTTTGTTGCCCACACACTGTCTGGAACCTCAGCACTTCCTGGTTCCTTGGGGGCACTGGAATTTGGGCGGCAGACAGAGCTTTTCAGGGCAGTTAACAAACCTTGATTGGGCGTGAGCGATAGCACCCCCCCCTGCCCCCCAGGTAGGAAGACTCAAGGTGCAGGTAAAGGTTGTGTCTACAGGCACAACTGGTTTGGCAATTTAGTTAAAATGCTCAAACCAGCTGTGCCTGTGGATGCAGCCCAGCATGATGGCAACCATTTGGAAAAGAGAGACGCTTACTGCGGAGGGAGAGCTCCACAACCAGGACGCCCCCGGTCTGGTCCCGGAGGAGGCGTTTCCGTTTGTCACAAGTCTGGAGACACAAGAGCAGCCGAGGACGAGGAGGGCGGAGGTGGAATGAGAAATGGACACAGGAGAGAAAAAAGGAGATAGGTTAAAAGAAAAAAAGCCACAAACGTGATGGGGTCAGAATTCCCCGGGCCTCAGATATTCCCTTATTGTTTGTATAACCTGAAGAGATGCTTTCATCCCTCCTCCAACTTGAGAAAAGGAGGACAGCTTCCTGTCATTAACTCTTCAAGCTGGAACAAATCCACACTGGTGTGGGAGGGCTCGACACCATTTCTTTCGATGAGAAGGCTCTGACCTGCAGTTACTCTCATCACAGTGATTTGAGAGGTGGAAACTGTGCTCTGGTTCATTTTCTTTTTGTAAATGCAGTGCCAACAATTATCCTTTCATCAGCAGTTAAGTGTCTCTCTGGTCCCTTCCTTTTCTCTATTTGTGCTCGCAAATGACCACTTTCTGGCCAAATGAATCCATAGAAATAGAGATTATCATCTTATTTCTGTTGGTTACTGTAGGTGATGCGAGGAGGTACCCTCTTCAGAAACACCCTGTCCCTCCCCGCCAGGACCTCCAGTTCACATAAAGTGGAGGAGGTAACAGTGCGGGATTCAACACTTTTAAATCTTCAAGGCAGTGGCTCCCAAACTTGACCATGCCCCAGAATTTACCTGAAGAGCTTGTTAAAGCACAGATGGCTGGGCTCACCCCAGAGTGTCTGAATCAGGTGGTCTGGGGCCGGGGGTGAGGTGGGGGCTGAGAATTTGCCTCTCTGACAAGTCCCCAGGTGCTGCTGAAGCCACCCGGGACCACAGTTGGGAACCACTGCTCTAAGGACCAGGTTCCCACCAGTTCGCAATGGAAAATTGTCTTCCACCTGGATTCACTGTGATGTTGATTGATCCTGCGGCAACTTCTTGGCGGGGCAGGTGGAGGGGAAACTGACTCCCCCAGCTTCTGCGTGAGCTACTCGTAACGTGTCTGTGAAGCTGGAGCCCGACCGCGGGGCCGTCCTCTCACGTGGCCAGGTCACCTGTGACCCCGTATCGGGAGATTCTGCATCATCTCTCCGGTCCACCTCAAGTCCCCGAGATGAGCCCTCAGGCTGGTAAGTCAAGAGCTATTAATACCCACCTATGACTTCCATCCAGAGCCCATTGCCACCACCTAGATTTTGAATTTCCCTGGGGCTTTCACTTTTTCAAAGCATTTCCATGTACATTGCTTTCATTTTACCTCACATTGCTCTCTGAAAAGAGAAGGGCCATTACTTATCACCGCTCTAAAGAGGAGAAAACCAAGCTCCAGAGGTTAAGTGACACGTGCCAGACCATGTGGCTTGTTGGTGGCAGGGTGACGCCCCTGGAATGTCTGCCCCTACACCCAGCACCCTCTCCTCCAGAATGACCTCATCACACGCCTACACTGCTCTGGTTACAATTTGGCAGCTAAAAATACAGCGTCTCCAATACCTCCTCCCCACCCCCCGGGTAACATTCTCGATCCAGGGAGAGGTGGCTCACCACTGGGCAGGAGAGCTTCTCACTGTCACAGATGAATGTCTCGCAGTGTAACCACACCTTGGACAGTTTGGGGACGTTCTGGAACCGGAAAGCGTTGAATTGGAAGGTTGCCCTGTGATCTTTCCCGTTCTCGTGTACGAGGACTGTTTCATCCGTGGGGCAGCTGGAACACACGGGGGAGGTGGGGAGGGAAGGGGAGAGAAAAGTTTACCTCCTGAACTTCAGCAAGGGCGTGGGAGGCAGATTCATGCGTGCACAGCCTTGCCTGGGCTTTTACACAGCGTGTTATCCTTTCAAAGCCCTTTGACCAGCAGCGCCTCACTTACCCTCACTTCTGTGGGGTCAAGGCGAGGAGCTATGAGATGGGTGTGATCGTCCCCTATCTACAGAGTACAGCAGGGGGGGTAGGGGGAGATATATGAGAAGCCACACACCTGGTAAGTCACCACACCTCTGCCCCAAAGAAGTGAAATCCCCAAGACAAAGCCCTCCGGAGACCTGGGATGTGGAGACTCCCAGTGTATGTACGAAATAAAGATGATGGAGCTGGGAACGGCGTTTCCCAAAGCTGCCACAGCCACCCAAGGCACACCCAGCACGCTTCTGTGTACATACTGTTAGGTTTCGCCACTGGGAATTTGAATTTACATTATACTATGTAAGTTCTATAACTCTTCTATTACATAATTGCCTTTGTAAAACTGTGATATTTTTAATCTGCATGCAGAAAAAAAAGTGACTGCAAAGATATCATCTAAAAGTTAACACTAGCTATTGTGGAGTGGTGGAATTATGGACAGTTTTTGTTCTTCTTTGTACCTTTATGCTTTTTCTAAATTCTCTGTCATGAGAATGTAATATTTGGAAAGTTTCAAAGCCCCAAACGTACAATTGTAGCAAAAGAAACCATAATGACAAAGATGGGCATTTGTTAAAACTAATTGTTCTCACCTGGGGCCATTTTATGCCCCTCCCCAGGGGTCATTTGGCTTGTGGGTGTCATGAATGGGAGGAAGGTGCTACTGGCATTTAGAAAGGAGAGACCAGAGATGCTGCAGAATGTCCTACAGGGCACAGGACAGACCCCACAACAGAGTGATCCAGCCCAAGAGGTCAGTGGTGTCAAGACTGGGAAACCCTGGTTTAGGCACACAACTTGCTCATCTACCAAACACATATGGAGTCCCTACTGAAGTGCAGGCATTCAAGCAGTCCTTGGGAACAGACACAATGGTTCTTGGGAATGGTTCTCAGGCCACACTCGAGGCCTGCGGAGTGTGGGTGTGTGACAACAAGCACCAGCACTGTCCTCCGTAGAACAAAGGCCTGTGGGTCAGAAGCTCAAGACCAGTGCATTGCGCCGCAGTGGAACCCAAAGTTCAGGCCCCTCCTGGAGCTTTTCTCCGACTCTGCTGTCCTTCCAACTTAATACACACACGCTAGAGAGCAGTCCAGCCCCCCGGAGAAGCCACCCCGCTCCATCAGAACCAGACGTTAGGGGCCAAATTAGAGGTAGGACTGAAGGGATGTGAACTCTGAGAGTCAGGGAGTGAAACGAGGTGTGAACACTCTGCCTTATATCTGGACCAGGGTCAGGAGCTGGGTCCTATTTGTGGTGGCCTCTGAGCAGTGACAAGAGCTGGGGGCATTTTCCGAGCTGTGAAACAAGATTCTTGCAGGATCATCTGGTCAGTAAACCCGAGATCCTTGTATGAACTTAAGACGTTAAGTCCCTTAAAATAGCTCCTTGCTGCTGGAGCGTCCAAGGCCTGGTGTCAGCCAGTGGAAAACAACGTAAGCCGAGCTTTGTTGGAGGCAGGGAGGAGGCGAGTCACAGGCAGGCCTGGGTGTCTTGGCACTGCTGCCAGCAGACGTTGGCTGGGGCACCCGCCCCTCGGGGACAGGTAGTGCAGGATTGTGGAACGCCCACGGAGAAGCCTTCACACCATCACCTTCCCCACCTGAGATCAAAATTCCTGGTAATGCATCTGTTCTCCCCTCTCCAGGCATTGAAAACTGGGTTTTTCTCTCAAAAGGCCTAGTGTGAACCAAAGGCATCTGGGAGGTTATGGTCGTGGACTTGCTAAGTCTGCCCTTTGGCACTGGTCTTTGTCTGTGTGTCTCCAACCTCAAGAGGCCATTTCAACTAGGCAGACTATGGAAATAGGTCAGGGCGTCTTTAATTGGGCTGTGCTTAAATGCAGGTTCCCAGGGTTTGCCTGGGGGCTTCTGATGCTCTAGGTGTGCAGTGTGTCTGCACGTGTAACAGGTGCTCGGGGTAATTCCTGCACACCCAAGAGTGTAAGGATTGCTTGCAGGGACTACCCCAAAGTCACAAGCATTCCTTTTCTTTCCTATTACACATCTATTCTGTGAGCAAGAGCACCAGAACCACCTGCAGGACACGCTTCCATGGTGTGGCCATTGTCTGAGAGAGGTTCCCAATACGTGTCGGTAATTTTTGGTCTCTGTAGGTCAATAATTTATTTCAGAATCTCCCTGAAGTCATTTGATTTGTACCATTGTCAACAGAACCTCAGTGAGTCACTCAAGGACACATGTGAAGTAAGGACCCAAACTCAGTTCCCATCTCTGCAGTAAGGTGGGGTGCTTAGCTGTGGCTCTTGCTGGCCTGTCCCACCCAGTGTTACCAGGAGATAAGGCTGCCCAGATCATCCATCCCCTTACTAGCTTAGACTTTGGGCAAGTGTCTGCACCTGTCTGTGCCTCAGTTTTCTCATCTGTGAAATAGTGATTATTATACTACCTCCTTTATGGGGAGTTTAATGAAATTTAAATAAATTAGCATTTGTTAAGCACCTCCCTAGACCAACATCTGGTATGTTGCATGTGCTGTTTAAGTGTTTGTTAAATAAAAATAGTTAAAGGTCCAAAGTGGCTTCACCTTTGTTATCTAATCATCTTTGTCCCTGAACCCAGAGTTTACTTAACCCTGGTGGGTTCTGGTACACTGGTTGGCTTTCGTTTGGGGAATGGCCTCTTCTTTGTTTACTGTTCGCTTTAGTCTCACTCATCCTGTCCTCTCTTTTCCGAGGTTACAATTCTAAGTGCTTCTAGACAATTGTCATCTCAAGCTCAACATGTCACTCCTGAACTCAAGGAGAATTCAGACTCCCTTATCCAGAAACTCTCTCCCCAGGAGCCTACAGTAAACAGTTTCTCATCTTCACAATCCGCAATTCAGCAGCAGAAAGTGTTCTTTGTCACATGTTCCTCAGATATTGTGCCCTGTCCTTCCCTCTCCCATATCGAATTAGTCACTAAATTTTTATCAGTTCTCCCTCCCTTGGATGACATTGGATGACCTTTTTCCCACTCACTTAGCTACAACCTCATTCAGATCTTATCGCCTTTGGCTCTGCAGCTGCCACAGCCTCCAACCTGGTCTTCCTACCTCCCGTGTACTGTTTCTAAACCATCCTATGTATGATTTCCAGAATCACCTTTCTATGTTGTAATTCCAGTACATCAGTCTGCTACTTCAAAATTTTAAGTATTCCCCATTATCTACTGAATTATTAGTAAATAAAAACAATCCCCTTTATTAGTAAATAAAAACAAAGATATTACTAAAATTGATTGGATACCAACAAGGTACTATGTGCAAAACTTTTAACATGGATTACCTAATTTACCCCTCATCATGGTTCTGATGTCAGATTGATTGGATCTGAACCCAGCCTGCCACTTTCCCATAAACACACACACACACACACAACACACACACAACTACACACACACAACG